AGTCTCCTCCTCCCCTCACGTCAAGAGTCTGGGTGTCATTCTCGACAGCTCACTTTCTTTTCAGGCTCACATTAATAACATAATTCGGTCAGCATACTTCCATCTACGTTCCATAAACCGTCTCCGCCCCTCACTGACCCCTCACACTGCCGCCATTCTCGTCCACAGCCTCGTCACCTCCCGTCTCGACTATTGCAATTCACTTCTTTATGGTCTCCTTCATAAACTGCAACTGGTCCAGAACTCAGCAGCCCGTATTATCACCAGAACACCTTCCTTTCACCACATCACCCCGGTTCTCCAGCAGCTTCACTGGCTCCCAGTTAAATTCAGGTCCATCTTCAAAATTCTCCTCCATACCTTCAAAGCAATCCACAACCTCTCTCCTCCATATATCTCAGACCTTATAAGTATTCACACCCCGTCCCGTTCACTCAGATCTTCTTCTTCCATCCATCTTGCTGTTCTTTCTGCCCGTCTCGCTACCATGGGGAGCAGAGCTTTCAGCCGCTCTGCTCCCCGTCTCTGGAACTCACTTCCCCCAGACATCAGGAACATCGACAGTTTTACCCTTTTCAAAACAAAACTCAAAACACACATGTTTAAATCTGCCTACGACCTCTGATTTTATTTAACTGTTTCTCTCTGTTTTTTTTTCTTGTTTGGGTTTTTATTATTGTTTTATTGTATTTTATTAAGTGTTTTCTGTCAAGTGACCTTGGGTGTTCTGAAAGGCGCTTTTAAATAAAATGTATTATTATTATAGTCGCGGCGCTGTGATGTAACCGGCCGACGAATCCGGCCGACGAATTTGTAATTTGTATTTTGTAATTTGAATTGCTTTTATTTTTGATTTATTCAATATATTTACCTTCTACTGTACCGTGTTCAGCGCCTTGGGCTTCCTGACAGGGTTGCGGAAGGCGCTTTATAAATAAACAGGGTATCTGCAGATTTAAGGGAGCCAAATTTAAGACTTTTTAAGACCTTTTTTAAGGCCACTTTGACCAAATTTAAGCTATTTTAAAAATTAAATTTAAGCTCTAATTTCCAGCTTATGCCTGGAACCGGTGCTAACCACGTCGCGAACGTGGGATTAGCCATCCAGTTACCATTAAACTTGCCCTTTCCCATGGCACAAGCTCCCACTAGCTTAACCAGCTAATGTGCTCATCTAAAAAAAAAAGCCCCCTTTCACAACCAACTGACTGCGTACGGTTCCGCTTACGTCAACATCATACACAAAAAAATGCTGAACACTAACTAGAAATTCACGGAATTTTTATAGAAATAAAAGAATCTTGTTTATTGGGTCTTTGGTCATTTAAGACCTTTGGAAACTGGATTTAAGGATTATTTGTCATTTTTAAGGACTTTTAAGGCCTTAAATTAGGAAAAGCTAATTTAAGACTTTTTAAGACTTTTTAAGGACCCGCGGATACCCTGATAAAGCTTTGATTGATTGATTGACGAAGGATGCAGACCCTGAACTGAGACGCAGCCAATGATTTCTGATCTATGTGAAACTGGACCACATCCATTCTGCATTCAGTGTGAAGGAGGGTTCACACCCACTTTATGTAGCAGTGTAGCTGCAGCCCTGCTCTGGTTTTCCTCTGGTTTCTTAACCCTGGTCATCAGCTCTCCCCGTCCTACATGTTTAGGTGTCTCCCTGCTGCCACACACCTGATCTAAATGAATGAGTGATTAACAGGCTTCTGCAGCACTTAGTGTCATCCTGAGAAGGTCATGCAGAAAAGTAAATCAGGTGGGCTGAAACAGAGACGTGGAAAACATGCAGGACAGGGGGCGTTTGATAAAAGCTGGTTCATTTTTCATTTGGGTAGGAATGGACCACATGGCAATATATCACAATATATTATTTTCTTCTATTTATAATTGTCAAAATGATGGTTTTGAACATGCCCACATATGAATTGCAGCTGAACAAATACTTATATAAAGTATAACATAGAATACCATTTAAAGAACATTTAACGTTCAAAACTTATTTTAAAAAATAAACCTTACAATTCATTTTTATGTTACTCTGATTCATTCTTTAGACAAAGCAACACAAAAATCCTCAAAATGAATAAAGATGAAGATATTGGAATTAAATTCAAGCTTACTTACAATTAATATGAACTTAAGTTAAAAATAGTTACATAGAAGTTACATTTTGCTTTACTGATGGATAACTGCAGGTAAAATGATGCTTTTCCACTTTTTAAAAAATAAAGTATTATATAAGGTTAAATGATATAAATATTAAATAAGGTTGAAGGTTTATTCTTTTTCTTTGCCTCAACTGGAACACTCAAACTGGAACCTCAACTGGAGTTGATCAGCAGGTCTGGGGTTGTTAGAGAGAGAAGTTGCACAAAACTTGTGCATTATTAATGGAAGACACAGCTGTGGGTGGAAATGTATGAAAACTAAATCACCGGAGATGTCAGACAGTTTTAGAATTTAGAATAAAAAAACCAAAACGAAGAAGCCTGTGAGTTTATAATTTCAGGAATTAGTGTTAACAAGTTGTTAATGCGGGTACAACTTTACTGTCACCAGAATTTTTTACTGAGGGTGTTTGTATTTTCAATATCAAACTCCTGAAACCCAAATTAGGTCCATATAATCGACGTTACCCCATCTTTACTAGTACTCGTTAAACCACCCGCTCTGCACTGCCGCAGCAGCCTCTCGTCCAAAGCTGCCAGGAAACACACACTTTCTATTAATTCAGACAGAGTTAAGAATATAGTTAATGAAAATGAATTTAATTCTAAATTTCTAAACTAATGATGACACAGAACCAATCATGATGAGTGATGGTTGGACACGTTAACTGAGACAATAAAATAAATGATGGAATGTAAGATTAGATGTTTGTAGCAAAACCTTGTTAAGTATCTGAGAAATTTGTGACGTCTGAGTTGGAAAATCAGTCTGACTGAATGGTTTAACAAGCTATCAATCATTCATAAAGCCATCCCACACCAGGGTGCAGGTCTACGATACCCATGTTGGAAGGCAGCTCTCGGCGGTCTGGAGGAAAGGCAGCCAGATTAATGATCAGTCAAAGTCTAAGTCATTTATTGTCATTTCTACCACATGTGCAAGACATACAGAGAAACGAAATTGAGTTTCAGTGCACACAATTCAGAGATCAGACATACATGGGCAAGACACATGACAAGAATTGGTGACTGCGGTCATTCGCAACACGAGTCGCGCTACCTTAATAGAGATAAGAGGGTTACATGAGGATGGGTTGGGGGAGGGAAAAAAGGCATACCAGAGTTACTCCCGACAGGGCGTAGCTGTACTATGCAAAAAAACACCTCAAACATATAAGCACGGACTTCAACATTCACAACATGAGACTCCGTTAGGGAGGGGGTGGGGGCTGGGATCCTGATTATCCAGGGCCAGCAGCCATGTGCGGCGCTCAGCCAGCTGTGTCCACAGGAGGGAGAGAGATCTTGGGAGGAGCATAGAGCACATTCCTGCAGGTTGATGGCCTCGCAACAAAGTCCACAATGTGGGGGGGGGGTTCCACAGCATCTGTCTGCATTCCTTCCTTCGTGGGGGATGATTATTTGCAGCTTCAAGGCTGCCTTGGTGTCAGATTAGGATAACAAGACTGTGTTTGGGTCAGGCAGAGATCATCTTCCCTCTTCCTTCAGTCTGTAACTGGTCATTCCAGTCCTTCAGTGAAGCCAATTCAGGTTATTAAACATCTCCACACCGTCCGGTGACCCTCTCCGAGATGACATCCATTTTGCGCACTAACACCGGTAACGCAGCTGAGACATTGTCCAGCTTACGATTCACCTCCAGTAACGTCCCAGTCTGTGAGGTCTCCGCCCGGACGGTGCCGTCCATGGGTGCGGGTCGCCCTCCAATCACTCCCGTCTTCCCAATTTTTTGGAAAACCAGATATCCTCCCACTCCAATCAGAAGAAATCCAGTGATCATCAGGCCGAATATCCACAAATCTTCGACATCCTCAATGGACAGCTGAGAGAGACAGACGACCTTCCACTCCTTCCAGGAACCGAGCATATATCCCGCTGCGTGTGTCCCGTGAGGGCAAGCGCGAGCCCCCTCCTCCGTTCTCATCGTAGAAAAAATCTTATCAATCGTGTTCAATGACCAATTAATTAAATCCATTTCTGAAAATTAGTGATTTCCAGAGGAAATGCAGGGAAGCACTCTGTAGGCAGACGGGACAAAAAGAGCCTTGGGAAAAAACATAAGGGAGCAAAGCAGAAGCGACTGTGCTCTGTGAGTACCAAATGGAATCTTAAAGAGACGTAGTTCCCTTTGAATTCAATTATCACCGGCCATAAGATGCTACCAGGGTTTGCTAGTTAGACGTTCCACATCTGATACCATTTGCAAGTGTTGCAGAGAGGCTTTGACCTCGAGTCGAGAGAGAGGATGGTTCCTTGTGCTTTGCTTACTGGAGGGACTATGTCTCTCGGCCGACCAGGGAGCGCCTTGGGATTACCCCGGGGGAGCTGGCCCAAGTGGCTGGGGAGATGGATGTCTGGGCAGGACCCAATAAGCCCGGATAAGCAGATGAAAATGGATGGATGGACAGATTTTGCCATGATGACCTCACTTTTGCCCTGCCTTTGTGTTTGTTGTCTGTTGTTATTTGTTGTTTACTGTTGCCCTCCATTCACCTCCCCCTTTTCTGTTTCGATTATACATCTCTTTTCTCCCTGCCTGTCCACATGCCACAAACATAATAAAGGCTACTGTGAAACAGGAGGAATATCCCCCATCCCTCTTGCTGTAAAGTAAACCAGCTGAGCGCCTCGTGATTTTTATCTTGAGAGGTGCTATAGAAATGATATTTTCTTCTTCTTCTGAAAGCACGATGTTAGCAGAAGCTACAGTTTACAGGATGAAAGCGTCTAATGCTGAAAGGCAGCTAGCAGCTAGCTGAAAACCTGACATCAAACAGCTGTCTGTGTGTCTCTGTGTAGCTGTTGTGTATCTTAGAGCAGTGTGGTCTGCAGACCGAGGGGATTCTCCGAGTGTCCGGGTCAGCGGCTAGACTAAAGGTAACACGCACACCAGCTTACAGTCATCCTTTGCTACAATTGTGTCGCGCTGAATGAAAAAATGTGGTCGTTTATGGATGATGTCACTGTTTTTCAACAATTCTGTCTGTTTGCAGAACCTGCGGCAGGAGTTGGACCGCAGCTGCAGCACTTTCGACTGGTCTGCAGTGCGACAGGTGGACGCCGCCGGTCTGCTGAAGCTGTTCATCAGAGAGCTACCAACACCTCTGCTTACACACACACACATGTCCACGTTCCATGCAGTGCTCAGTACGCATGCACACACACACATGCACAAACACACAGTCTTCTTAGAGGTGTTCTTGTGTGAATTACTTGTTACATGTTCTTGTGTGTCCCTGCAGGTGTGTCTTCTGTAGTCCATCAGCTTCAGGTCCTGCAGCTGCTCCTGTTGTTGCTTCCTGAGGCCAACAGAGACACCTTAAGAGTAAATTCCACCTTCAACCTGGAGCTATGGCACTTTTCCTTAAGCCAACAAAAATTTCCAACATGCACTTGCCATCAATTGATGTGATTGTTTCCATGGTTGCAGGCCCTACTGGTCTTCCTCCATAAGGTGGTGTCTCATCAGGACCAGAACCGGATGTCTCTGTGGAATGTCTCCATGGTGATGGCTCCTAACCTTTTTGTCCATTGTAACCGTGGAAACAAACCTTCCATCACCAAGCAACGTGAGGAGATGGAGAAAGCTGTGGGTGGAGCTCACCTGATTAGACTGATGATCAAAAACCAAGACCTGCTCTGGACTGTTAGTGTCCTAACCCTAACCCTTCTGAGCCTTTTTTCCTCTAGTGTCCCATTATTAGCATCATTTCCTGTCCTATGTCATAGGTCCCCACCTTCCTACTGTCCCAGTTGAGACAGATGAACCTAGCATCCATACAGAAACCTTTCAACTTGAGCAGAACAACGTCCCGCCTGCTGAGGAAGAAAAACAAGAATGACAGGAATCAGGTAGATCCAGGTCCACAACCTGAACCATAGTAACCAGTGTTGGGACAAGTATATTCCAAGACCAGAACCATACGTTCTAAAGCTGGTTCTGCTTGCTTCTTGTGTTCAGCTTACAGAACTGTGTGAAGGTGTCATCAGAGTACACGCCCCCTTAAACACAAAAGTTTCCATGGCGATACAACTTGATGAACAGACAACAGCCAAAGACATCACATCTCGTTTTCAGCCTGAGATCAGGTAAGACACACATTTGTCCACATGCGGACATTTCTGATTGACTGAAGCCTGATATCCATCCATCTGTCTGTAGTCCTGCTTCACAGCATCTTTATGAAGTTGGAGGAAACATCTGTAAGTCTTCAACTGACATCATTAGCAAACATCTGGATAGTAGGACATTTCAGAACCTGTGCCTGTACCTGTCTCTTTTAGGTGCACGTCGTCTTCACCCAGACTGCTGTTTGTTGGATGTGTACAGAGTTAATCCTCACTGTGATTGGCTGATCAAACCATGACTTCCTTTTTTGTTTTGACTGTTGTTTGAACATGTTCCAATAAAACATCCAAACCACCACCTGCTGATTGCTGCTCTTGTACCTGTAAAATAATGTTCTCATTACCGCCATCACACATGAGTTACCATCACACCTTTTTCATCTTCACACCTGTTTCATCATCACACCTGTGTTACATCACACCTGTTTCATCATCACACCTGTGTTACCATCACACCTGTTTCATCATCACACCTGTGTTACATCACACCTGTTTCATCATTACACCTGTTTCACCATCACACCTGTTTCACCATCACACCTGTTTCATCATCACACCTGTTTCACCATCACACCTGTTTCACCATCACTCCTGTTTCACCATCACACCTGATTCATCATCACACCTGTTTCACCATCACTCCTGTTTCACCATCACACCTGTTTCACCATCACTCCTGTTTCACCATCACACCTGTGTTACATCACACCTGTTTCATCATCACACCTGTTTCACCATCACACCTGTTTCACCATCACTCCTGTTTCACCATCACACCTGTGTTACATCACACCTGATTCATCATCACACCTGTTTCACCATCACTCCTGTTTCACCATCACACCTGTTTCACCATCACTCCTGTTTCACCATCACACCTGATTCATCATCACACCTGATTCATCATCACACCTGTTTCACCATCACTCCTGTTTCACCATCACACCTGTTTCACCATCACTCCTGTTTCACCATCACACCTGTGTTACATCACACCTGTTTCATCATCACACCTGTTTCACCATCACACCTGTTTCACCATCACTCCTGTTTCACCATCACACCTGTGTTACATCACACCTGATTCATCATCACACCTGTTTCACCATCACTCCTGTTTCACCATCACACCTGTTTCACCATCACTCCTGTTTCACCATCACACCTGTGTTACATCACACCTGATTCATCATCACACCTGTGTTACATCACACCTGATTCATCATCACACCTGTTTCACCATCACTCCTGATTCACCATCACACCTGTGTTACATCACACCTGATTCACCATCACACCTGTGTTACATCACACCTGTTTCACCATCACACCTGTTACAATCACACCTGTTTCACCATCACACCTGTTACAATCACACCTGTTTCACCATCACACCTGTGTTACATCACACCTGTTTCACCATCACACCTGTTTCACCATCACTCCTGTTTCACCATCACACCTGTGTTACATCACACCTGTTTCATCATCACACCTGTTTCACCATCACTCCTGTTTCACCATCACACCTGTTTCACCATCACACCTGTTTCACCATCACTCCTGTTTCACCATCACACCTGTGTTACATCACACCTGTTTCATCATCACACCTGTTTCACCATCACACCTGTTTCACCATCACTCCTGTTTCACCATCACACCTGTGTTACATCACACCTGATTCATCATCACACCTGTTTCACCATCACTCCTGTTTCACCATCACACCTGTTTCATCATCACACCTGTTTCACCATCACACCTGTTTCACCATCACTCCTGTTTCACCATCACACCTGTGTTACATCACACCTGATTCATCATCACACCTGTTTCACCATCACTCCTGTTTCACCATCACACCTGTGTTACATCACACCTGATTCATCATCACACCTGTTTCACCATCACTCCTGATTCACCATCACACCTGTGTTACATCACACCCGATTCACCATCACACCTGTGTTACATCACACCTGTTTCACCATCACACCTGTTACAATCACACCTGTTTCACCATCACACCTGTTACAATCACACCTGTTTCACCATCACTCCTGTTACAATCACACCTGTTTCACCATCACACCTGTTACAATCACACCTGTTTCACCATCACTCCTGTTACAATCACACCTGTTTCACCATCACACCTGTTTCACCATCACACCTGTTTCACCATCACTCCTGTTTCACCATCACACCTGTGTTACATCACACCTGATTCATCATCACACCTGTGTTACAATCACACCTGCTCCATCATCAGATCCATCTCTTCTATGTGCAGCTCAGACAGCGGTAATTCTTCTGCTTGAGTAACAGTTTGAGAGAAACTAGTAATTTTACTGCATTGTCGTTTTTCTGATTAAGAGTGTGATCATGAAGTTATCCAAAAGGGTTCAAAGGAAGGCAACTGGACTTTGGTTTCTTGAAGATTTTTTGCTTCTCATCTGAGCTTTGTCAGTTCTGACTGGAATATGAGAGTCAAGCTTATAAGCCGTTTTGAACTTTCTGTGCAAAATCTGCCGAATTTTGTATTGTTCGGTCTTTCGAACCAGCGGGGCCAGGCTAGTGGAGAGATGTCTTGCAATGTTGTATGTGACTGAGTTGATGCTTCTGAGTGGTGTTCCTTCCTTGTGAATCTTCGAAAGACCATAAATACATGGAGTGGCTTCTCTTGGATAAAGTCTGTAGTAAAAAGCGCGGTCAAATATTTAGTCTTTTAGCAGTTTCTGTAAACGGTCGGTGATTTTCTTCTTGTGTCTGCCTGTCGGGTTCTCCTTTAGAGCTATAGATCTCATAACGTCTTCACTCCTCCATTGCATTTCCTGTCCATCGCAGAGAAAATAGTTTTTATATAGCACCTCTCAAGATAAAAATCACAAGAACGAAAAGTAAAAACTTTTCGCCTCCTCGTCGTCTCCGCATGGTTAGTTACCCTCGCGGTCTATCACTGGCAAATCAAAAGTAAGACGGATGACACAACCGCCCCCCGTACTTGCTTGTTACCACATTCCACCCGGCCACAATAAAAAACCAGCCATTATTCACCTCCGCCGACTCCGGCCAAAATATGATACCTGGCAGTTAATTAAATACAGGCTAATATTAGAGGATTTATGGTATATACATATATATATATATATATATATATATATATATATATATATATATATATATATATATATATATATATATATATATATATGTGCATGGTGGCACAGTGGTTAGCACTGTTGCCTTTCTGCGTGGAGTTGCGTGTTCTCCCCATGCATGCGTGGGTTTTCTCCGGGTGCTCCGGTTTCCCCCACAGATCACAACATGCCCTATAGGTTATAAAAAAATGTAAGTCGCTTTGGGTAAAAGCGTCTGCTAAGCATATAAACATAAACATAAACATAAACATATATATATATATATATATATATATATATATATATATATATATATATATATATATGCAAAAAATTTCATTTGTCAATTTGTTTGATCTTCTTAGGGATTAAAACAAAAGCTGATAGCAACAGCCTTTAATTCCTAGATATGTAGTTTATTAACCCTACACTAACCCCGACTCCAACAGGACCAAGGTCCTGACCACACATAGACAAGAGTTTCATGTTAAACGAACTTTTAAAAAGCAAATAATAGAAAAGTTACAATAATTTAAAGGAGTGAGAAAAAAATTACCACCAAGTGAAAAACATTTATCACCATGAAGAAGAAGAAAAGATCTTTTCTATAGCGCCGCTCATCCAGGACTATGAGGCTTCGGCTAGGACGCCAGGGGCGTCAGTTGGGGGGGGGGGGGGGGTACTCCTCATTCACTTAACATCTCTGAGTCTCTTGCCAGGAGAGGGAGCAACACCAGCTGTTCCTGATCTGCAATCAGCGGGGTGCTTCCACATAAGGTGGATGGAGGACACAATTCGACGCCGGAAGATTGCCACAGCTTGGTAGTACCCAGCCACACATGTTCTCTAGGATCTCTAGGATTAATCTTTGCTAGTAGTGTTTTGCTCTAGGATTTAGACTTTTGGATTTTACTTACCTCCAGGTTTCCAGTGTTTCCCTCTGGACGCTGAGCCATTTGGATACTCACCTCAGGAATCCTGGGTTTGGAAACTCAGAACCTCCTGGACCCACTCACTGTTCTCCATCACGACTCACCAGACATTTCGGCTCAGTGTCTCCCATCCACCAGGACGCTCTGCTCACCTCCACCTTTGCTCCCTCTCCTGCGCTTCTCCCGGCTCTCGACCTGCTCCCTCCTCCAGCCAGCTACTCTTACCTGACTGTAAGTCCCTCGAACCTTCCTTAGGACATAAATGGACCTCAGGACATACCTGCAAATACTCACCAGTGTTCTCCCTCCTCCAGACGCAGAGCTTCCGTGTCTGTGAACAAACCACTGACACTCACTGCACCTTCCTTTCTCTTTTTTGTTGTTGTAAACAAATTATTTTTTCTCCCATCTTTGGTCTGTGTTGTGTTCTGCATGTCTTGGGTTAGGCGCCTTCCCCGAACATGACACTCTCAGGAAAAAATCACAAGGTGCTTCACAAAAACAAAAAATGTAAAAATATAACAAATAATGTAGTAAATGATTAAACATATATTAAAAAGGAGCAAAAATAGACAATTGGGATTAAAATATGATAAGAAAGAGAGAGAGTGAACAGGAAAGAGGGAAATCAGTGGATCCTGAGGAAGGTGGAATAGGTGGGGAGAGCAGAATAAAGAGAGAGAGGTGAAGAAGGTCATACAAAAGCCAGCTTGAACAAGTGAGTCTTCAGCTGCTTTTTAAAGGAGACCACTGAGTCCACTGATCTCAGGCTCAGGGGGAGAGAGGTCCAGAGTCTGGGGGCCACAGCAGCAAATCATCTGTCACCTTTGACCTTTAGCCTGGTGCTGCACAACCAGTAGGCTTTGGTCACTGGACCTCAGGGACCTGCTGGGGGTGTAGGGACTAAGAAGATCACCAATGTAAGATGGTGCTTGTCCATGTAAGGCCCTATAGACCAGAACCAGGATCTTGAAATGAACCCTGAAGTTGACTGGCAGCCAGTGAAGCTGGAGGAGAAGCGGGGTGATGTGGGTGTGTTTGGAGGACTTGGTCAGAAGCCGAGCACAGGCGTTCTGAACCACCTGTAGACGGTTCAGGGAGGTTCTGCTCAGACACGTGAAAAGAGAGTTACAGTAGTCTAAGCGTGAGGAGATGAAGGTGTGGAGAACTGTCTCAAATTCAGAGCGGGACAGCATGGGACTCAGCTTAG